GAGGAAGTCGAAGTTCAAGCTGCCCGTCACATCTTCGACTCAATTGATCATGGTGAGCGCTGGCACCGGCTTTGCTCCTTTCCGTGCGTTTCTTCAGGAGCGCGCCAAATTGCATGCGATTGGTAGGCCGATTGGCAAGATGTTGTTGTTCTTCGGATGCCGGAACCAGGAGGATTACATCTACCATGACGAGCTGGCAAAGATGCAGGAACAGCTCGGAGAGAAGCTAGAGATCGTTACGGCATTCTCGCGAATGCAAGGGCAGCGCAGGGTGTATGTGCAGGACCGGGTGGCCGAGCACGCTGGCAAGGTGCTGGACATGCTGGAAGGCGGGGCCAACATGTACATCTGCGGCAAGGCAAGCATGGCCCGGGAGGTGGATATGAGGCTGGAAGAAGCGGTCCAGGGTGCGCAGGGTAAGACCGAGGCCGACGTCAAAGCGTGGGCTGACGGGCTGAAGAAGAGGGGCAAATGGAAGGCGGATGTTTGGGGGTGATTTCGGTTGAGAGGTGTTTACCATAGCGCGTTCGTACGAAGGGAGGGCGACCCCACTTTTACCAATTTACCCCTGCCAAGCCAAGCAACACGGCCAAAGCCCATCCGCGCCCCAACGGCAGCTTGTGCGCCAGTTATCCCGCCACCTTTTGCTCACACCTCAAATTTTCATACCTCTCTTTGCATAGCAGTCAACAATGGATGTCGCTCTGGAACTCCTGGATCCTCTTGTCCTGGACAAAGCCTACGCATGGGCTCTCCCCTCGCCCGGCTTCAGCGTAGCCAATTCTTCGTTTTCAGACTTTTCGGCCGCTAGCACAGCGCCTGCGTCCCAATGGCCACGCGACAACATTTACCGTCAAATTCTATCGATTCTCGTCATTACTCAGCTCGGCGCAACTTCTCTCTACCTCTTTTTCAGCTCTCTGTCCTACTACACTGTCTTTGATCGCCGGCTCGAGTACCACCCACGCTTCTTGAAGAACCAAGTCTCCCAAGAGATCAAATCATCGCTCTTCGCCATCCCCTTCATCAACCTTTGTACTCTGCCTATTTTCCTCGCTGAAGTGCGCGGCCACAGCTTGATCTATACCAACACAAGCGAATATGGCTGGCCCTGGCTGGTGGCTTCAGCCGCTCTGTACATGGCTTTCAATGATTTTGCCATCTACTGGATTCATCGCCTAGAACATCACCCCAGCGTGTACAAGTACATCCACAAGCCACACCACAAATGGATTGGTAAGTGTCCCCAGTATCTTTCAGATGTCTTGCATTTTTGTCGCTCTAAATAGCAATGCTAATTTCAACAGTTCCTACACCATGGGCTGCGCTAGCGTTCCACCCGCTTGATGGGTTCGTTCAGTCATTGCCATACCAGTGAGTATTCCCTAGACCATTTCCCCAAAACCCCATTGCTAAATCTCAAAAGCATCTTTGTTTTCATCTGTCCAATGCAGAGACATCTGTACATGGTTCTCTTTGTTGCTGTCCAGATCTGGACAATCTTCATTCACGATGGCGATATGATTACCGGCCATTGGACAGAGAAGTGGCTCAACAGCCCCGCCCATCACACTTTGCATCACATGTACTTCACAGTCAACTACGGACAGTACTTCACATGGGCCGACACCTACTTCGGCTCTCACAGGGCACCACAGCCAGAGTTGGACCCTATTCACGATGCGCTCAAGGTTATGCGTGCGAAGGGCCTAGTGGATGAGCAGGGCAACCCCATCAAGCACGCCAAGAAAGAGTAGACGAGTCACGATTCCACTTCCTGGGGGAGTTTATGAGTTTTATAGATTTCTTTGAGGACAAGACGAGATATGGCAGATCATTGGTTAAAGACAGCCAATTAGCTTCTCAGATCCTCAATTTTTGGACCTGCGGGTCATTTCGGTATGATAGATCTCCTCGTTACAGCGAGAACCTTATAGCAATATCTAATGTTAATGTAATACCAAGAAGCGCTTGCTCATACCAACACTGTCATTGATGAATGATCATGCCGATCTGATGGTTTTCGAGTAGCATTATCAATCAGCGATTGCTTGAGCAGGAAAGACACTCAAACGCCCTGTGGCACGCTGAGTTACGGACGTGGAGAAGCTCTAGCTCCAATAGAAAAAGGCTGTTGCTTCCGCTACCCCGACTTTTTTCGTCACGTCACGTCGCATGATGTACGAATCCAACCAGTCTGTCAAAGGCCGCCTGGACTTCGGTAACCTTCTATCGGCTTTGTGGTATTTCCATAGGATGGGTCTGGCGATATCCATCCGATCTCAACCTCGGAATGTTGAAAACGGCAAGCCCGCAGGATACAGCCTCTTGACCCCGAGCCTTGGCGCCCAACGTAGAAGTCTATGCCGCAAACTTCCTATCCTCGACTATCCTAAGCCGCACGCGCGACCAGCGTTCTCGATCCGCCATGCCGTGTCAACCAATGTGCAGCATCCGATTGAGCTGTCAAGCGGTCCCAACACGTCGGTCTACCCTGTTCTCTAGGGCCCTCCCCCGCATTTTCCCATGCACCCCAACATTGCGAAGCGAAGAATGACGCATACCCGATAGGTTTGCGGAGACTTGCGAGCAGAAACCTGGGGAAAGCGTTGCCAGTATGGTGCGACGGATCCCAACGTGGCAATCCAGGTCAGCCTGCGAGAGCTCTTCGCATCGAGCTTGGTTGCGCGTCGTGCCGGCCATTGTCGGAGAGCGAATTTGAGGCTACACGAGTAGCATAAGTAGCACGCGATATCTCCTGAAGTATGGCTTGGAGTATCGCAAGCTCTCGAGCCTCGCCTGTCATCATTGCATTGTTGACTCTGATCACCACCTCTGTAATATCGTCCGAACTCCTCACCACTGCCTAATACAGGTCAATATGGCTCAAGACATGAAGAAGGTTGATATCTTCAACGAACGGTCTTCCAGCATCGACAAGATTGAAGATATCACGACTGCGCGCGAACATGCGGATCAAATCGCAAATCTCTCTGGCATCGAAGCTACAGCCGCTTCGAAGGCTGCTTGGCTAATATCCATGACTGTTTCTCTCGGTGGCCTCCTTTTCGGTGCGTAACTCTATTCCTAAGTTGAATTCTGAGATCCGACCTTGCTGACTTTGTCGAGGTTACGATACTGGCTACATCTCTTCGGTGCTCGTTACTATTGGCTCATCTCTCGGCCACGAACTCACGTCCTCCGAGCAGGAGCTCGTCACATCACTTACCTCTGGAGGTGCCCTCGTGGGAGCTGTCATAGCTGGTATGATTGCCGACAAATATGGTCGCAAGCTGCCAATCTTCTTGGCGTGCGGCGTCTTCGTTATCGGCACCATACTCCAGACGGCTGCGTATCACCTCCCACAGTTCGCTGTAGGCCGCTTCGTCGTAGGCCTGGGTGTCGGCTCAGCGGCTATGATTGTTCCTCTGTACATCTCAGAACTGGCGCCAGCCAAATATCGAGGCCGGATGATTGCCTTTAACAACATGAGCGTCACCTTCGGCCAGTTTCTTGCGTCATCCATTGGTGCCGGCTTCGCACAAGTCGGAGGCGCCAACTCGCAAGCCTGGAGAGCAACAGTTGGCATCGGTGCGGCACCCGCCATCCTCCTTGCCGGTCTCCTGACTCTCTGCCCCGAGTCTCCCCGCCAACTAGTCGCACACGGGAACGTAGATCAAGCCAGTATTGTCCTTACGCGCATCTACCCAACATCGACCGAAGAGCAGCGACGCGCGAAAATCATGAGCATTGAGATGAGCATCAACGAAGCCACACAGACTATGGTGGATGATTCGGTGTTCAAGACTCTGGCCCGTATCTTCACCACGGCATCCACTTTCCGTGCTGTGTTTACAGCATGCACGATCATGGCCATTTCACAACTGTCGGGCTTCAACACACTCATGTACTACTCAGCGACGCTCTTCAAGATTGTAGGCTTCAACAACGCAACCGCTGTCGCCATTACCGTTTCCGCCACGAACTTCATCTTCTCGCTCGTCAACCTTGTCATTGTCGACAAGTTCGGCCGCCGTCGCATTCTCCTGATAACAATTCTGGGGATGAGCGTCTGCCTGGTTATCGCCGCTGTCAGCTTCTCTTACATCCCGATTGATCTCCGCACATTGGCTGTTCAGAGCGAAGAGATTGGCTGGCCAGGTTATGTCCTTATTGCCACGATCATCATCTTCGTTGGCTTCTACTGTAAGTAACCTCACTATGCTGAAGTCTTTTTTGTCTTCTCTTCCGCTATCACTAGGCCAGTGCTAACTTCAATCAGCTAGTGGTGTGGCTACCGTGGCATGGATCGGGACCGAGCTGATTCCTATGGAGGTCAGAGCTGTTGGAACGATGTTGAATACGGTCACATGCTGGAGTACCAACATCATCATCGCCTCGACCTTCCTTTCCATGATGAAAGGCATCACCCCATCAGGGGCCTTCGGCTTCTACGCAGGCATCTGCTTCGTCGGCTGGCTATTCGTCATCTTCTGCTTCCCTGAAGTCAAGGGGATGCCACTTGAGGCCATCCGCGAAGTGTTCGAACACGGATTTGGCGTCAGATATGCGAGGAAGTGGCAGAAAGAGAACAGGGAGTTTGCCAAGATCAATGCAGGCAATTCACAAGCCTTTGGTCACTAATCAGAGGTTTTCATGTATGGATGACATGAGGCTGGCGAGTGGGTTCTTTTCATGTGGATATTTTAGTTGCGCTTGGTATGTTGCTTCTCGCGACGCGACGAATACATTGCTGTACTTCATCTTGCACAAGTACCAAGCACACACATAGCATGCATGCGGTGAAGTGATGAGATAACATTCGGTGTTGGTGTCAAGTCCCCTAACCAAGTACCACGGTTCCAACACCGGATCCCCCAGCCCGTAGCCCTACCAACCGGACCCCTTACCAGGCCAACATATCAACAAGACATGCAAAATACTTCTCCTTCCTACCCCTCCAGCCACCTCCGTCTAAACGCACAAGCAAAGTCGTCACGATGCGCAAAGCAAGCCTCATCGCCATCCTCGCAACCGCCATCACCAGCGTAACAGCCATCGACAAAATCGGCCGCTCATCAGACAAATGTTTCGCCTACGCCGTCACCGATGAGGCCTGGACAGAAAACAACATGAGAAGACGGCGGGTCGTATACGATACCACGAAGAGCATTCTGCATTACGATCAGACCATGTATAGCATTGGGTGGATGTGGTCAAACGAGAAGGAAGGTGTGTATCCTACCATATCCCATCGTTTGGAGATCAGCTGCTGACTGTTGGCATTCATAGCATGCAAAGCTCGTACGGTAGATACCGTCGTGTACTACAACGGCATCGTCGTTCCGGCAGGCGCATACGTTATCGACAGCAGCGAGATACTGAGTGAAGATGGGGATCGCGCGCATCAGTGTCTTTTGGATGTGTTCAGGACTACTTTGGGGAACAACCTGAACTGCACGGTATGATTTGGGTGTGGACTTCAGGTAGTGAGGAGGAAGGGATCGGCGTTGCATTTAGGGGGCTGGGGATTTGGAGTTGCATTTGCAGACTATTGAACGCGGAGGTGCATTTTGTATGGGATATGTTGCGCTTCGAGATAGAAGGACAAGCTTCTTCCTACGCTTCCCACCTCTTCGTGTTATCTCCACTCTTCACCTGCAAGTAGTTTCCAGCAATCGGGGCTTTGAGCCCAGCATCCACAATGAACTTTGGCCAGTCAATGCCGAACCTGCTGCTGACAGCCTGTTGATGCGCAGCCGGAACCGCGAAGTTTGCCGGCTGCTCATGCAGCAAGAATACGTAACGATGAGTTGGAGGCGCGCCAGCGGGTGGCGCAGGACCAAAGTACGACGAAGGTGTTGTGGCTGTCGTAGTGAGGACCGATGTGCCGTTCTGCTTGGTGCCGGAGGGCGTGTAATCTTGCAGGAGGGCATGCAGGACGGTTGATGCACGGCCGTTTTGGGTGACATCGATGTCTGAGCAGTGTCAGTGTGATGCGTTTTTGATAATGAGAAGGGGAAATACCGATCATTGCAAGCAGGTACTTTCCGCTAAGTGTTGTGTTGGTGAGACCAATGACAGGAGCCTTTGCCGTGGCTGTTCTACATGAGTATGGCACATCCTTCTTCACATATCGGGCTCATACTTGACTTCTTAACGATGAGACCGGGACTGATGTACTGTGTCCCGTAGTAGACATCCAGTGTTGCATTGGTGGCAGGAGTGAAACCCGAGGGCGTGGTCTGCGCGGTGGCCGACGCAGCGAGGACCAGCGAAGATACAATTGTCGTGAACTTCATTTTGACACGTTTTTAGTAGGAGTGATAGATGTCAGGGTCTCAGATGGTAGTTTTCTGAGAGCAGTCGACGAACAACATCATAAAGGCCCCACTGTGACATGATGTGGTCTGGCGCCTCCACTACAGCCATGCTATCGACATGCGGGTGCTCTGCAACATGTTGAGTACAGGCCAAGAGAAATTTAGAAAGGCAGGATGTTTATAGATGAGGCTTGAATCTAAGCGAATCTGATATGTTGCAGGCTGAAGGGGCCTTCATTCCGATCCCTGTCGCCCCCGCAAACTATACATACGTGTTGTCGGCACTTGACTTGAGTGTCTTTCTATCCGTCGCAACCAATTTTCCAGTGCTGAATCTTGGGATGAAGTCCTTCCTCGCTCTTGCTATAGGCTTGTTTGACATGGCTTTGGCGTGGTCACATGATAGAAGAACCCAACTTGATGTCCCAGGTCCGGGTACCCAATTATATCAGCTGCGGTCCTCATCGTACGTCTAGTCCTTTGAAATCTTCTATATTGGGTCGCTGACTATCGCACACAGCGACGATCCGTCCCTGGACAGCCAATGGGTGTCTCTGCCAGTCAGTTCTTTGGACATACGCACCTACGTGCTCAGCGACAGCCAGGATGCCGCTAGCAAGTTCTATCTCGTGAAGTACAATGCAACGAACACGTGGGAGCTTCATGTGGCCGAGGATGGGGATCGGCAGGTGGTGTTGCATAGTCGGAATCAGTCTAGCGAACTCCTATACATGAGCGATGTACTGCGTCCGGGTTCGACCGACGTGCTTGAGGGAGAATTGGCAGAGTGGGGGGTCTTCATCTTGGATAACAACGTCCTTGATGTTAGAGATGGAAGTGCGCTGACGGAAAGGTCTTTCGTAGCTGCGCACCCGGAAGCTGAAGGTGGTGTGTATGAGATTGCGTTGTATGATGGTGAGTGCTTTCCTTCGAGCGGCCGGGCTTTGATAATGACACGGTTCAGGACAAGGCACTGCTTCCTTGAGGACGCTGACTGGTATCGAACTGAACTTTGTGAGGCTTCCAAGGATTTGAAATTGTACATAGTAAACTCAAGTAAGGTGACATGGTCCAAGGCAGCAAGTGCCCAGGTGGTTCTGGCTGTTGGTGTTGTTTGTCTGTGCGGCTATCGATAGCGACTTCCCAAAAATCCAACTCCAATCTTGGCATCCCACCAACGCCGCTCCCATTGTCGACAATCCACCAGCCCCGCCCCTGCGCCCGCCGCCTACACACTGCCCCGATACCAGTCTCTGCTATTCTCACTATGCCGGGCGCCAAGACCACGCTGCTCATCGAGGGCACCTTCGAGGAGCTTACCGACGAGTTCGCACAATACATCGACAGCCTCAAAAAATCCCAGGGCGATGAGAGCGCCAACCTCCAGGGCGAGAGCGCGGACCTGCTCAAGGAGAACAAGAAGGACGATGTGCTCAAGAAGCTCGTCGTCGGCAGCCAGGCGCTGAACCAGGCGCCCGAGAAGGGTACGGCTCCAGCAATGACTCAAGGGGTCCTTCTGATGGAGAAAACACCGGGCTAACAATGAGTGCGCAGAGTTTATTGCGGCCTACAACCTGCTCATCCACCTCGTAAACCAGTCGCCAAATGTCTCCATCTTCATCCCCAAGATGTGCCAGAACCTGAGCACGCCCATCTCCTCGTCGCCTCTGAACGGTGGTGGTCTTGCGCTCTCCATCCTCAGCACCATCTTCAACACCACCCAGCCGGACAGCGAGACGCGCTACCACGTGCTCCTTGCCATTCTCCGTGTCATTCGCGCCACATCAAACTTCGAGACACTGCGACCACAACTCAAGCAGCTCGACAGCTGGATAGCCGCATGGAAGACCGGGGAGGAGGATTCGCGCAAGCTCTACCTTGCTGTGAGCGACGTCGCATCGGACGCAAGCGAGGAGGAGCAGGCATACACATATCTGCTACGCGCACTCAGGACATTCCCTTCAGAGCAGGCTTCGTCCCCAGAGGCTCGCGAGCTCTCTCTTCGCGCCCTCAAGTCGGCCCTCACACACCCGACCCACTTCGATTTCCAAGATCTCACCGATCTCGACTCGATCCAGGCCCTCCGTAACTCCGACCCCATATACTTCCAGCTCCTTGAAATCTTCAACTCCGATCTCCTGGATGACTACAACGACTTCAAGGACGAGCACGATGGCTGGGTTGAGGAGTCCGGCCTTGACGCCGGTGCCTTGAACCGCAAGATGCGCCTCCTCACTCTTGCGTCCATGGCTGCTTCAGCGGGCCAAGCTAGGTCGCTACCTTACGAGAGGATCGCAAAGGCACTACAAGTACCATCCGAAGACGTCGAGATGTGGGTCATTGACGTGATCCGCGCTGGTCTCGTCGAGGGCAAGCTCAGCCAGCTCAACCAGACCTTCCTGATCCACCGCTCAACATACCGCGTCTTCGGCGACAACCAGTGGAGAGAGGTAGCCTCAAGGTTAGATTTGTGGCGAAACAGTCTGCAGGGTGTTCTGCAGGTCATCCAGCAGGAGAAGCAGAGGTTCGCGCAGGAGAAGGAGGAGGAAGCAAACAAGGCCGACCAAAAGGCCGATATGGCGTCGCGGTTCGGCGGAAGGGGCGGACAGAGGAAGCAGCAGAGGGCCATTGATGACGATATGGACTAAGTGGTTACGTCGTCTTGGTGCGCGTTTCTTTCTTTCAAAAGGGGTCGGCTTGGGACGGATGCATTATGAGGCTTTTCAGGTTCATGAACAGCAGCCCTCGAGCTGCATGATAGACAATGCAATTCAGATATATTGATTCTTGGGCGTCTCCCTATAGACTATGAAGCCTGTGTCTGCACAAAGGTGATGTTGATGGGCTTCACGCCACGCTCCTTGAGCTTCTCCACAACGTCCCGGTAAACTTGGTCAGGCTCCTGCTCTGCGTTGATCTTGACAACCCTATCCTGGGACTCGAATTCATTGACCACGGGCATGCTTGTCTCCACGAATGTCCTGAAGCGCTTCTTGATACTCTCGAGGTTGTCGTCAGCGCGTCCTGATGTCTCGCCGCGGACGAGGAGTCGCTTCTCCATGACAGCTTCGGAGCACTCGAAGAAGATGGTGAACTTGGAAGGGCAGACGGAGCGCTCGAAAGCGTGGGCCTGGTCGAGTTTGCGCGGGAAGCCTATCATGTTAGACCGTGGACTGGAAAGTAGCTGCATGGGTCATCGTACCATCAATCAGGAACAGTTTTCCGTGGTTCTCTCCGCTCTCCATGCTGGCCTCCATTGCGTTCTCCAACAGCTGAACGGTAACCTCCATGGGCACGATAGTGCCTTCCTTGATGTACGTCTTGATCATCTCGCCGAACTCGCTGCCCTCGCGGTTCTGCTCTTCGCGCAGCAAATCACCAGCAGAGAGATGCTTGAAGCCATAGTCACTGACGAGCTTCGTACATTGCGTACCCTTTCCGGCACCGGGGCCACCAAGGACGAAAAGGACGGTCACTTCGTCGCTGGACCAGCGGGGAGACTCGCGCGAGCCCGCGGCAGTCTTTTCAATGGCAGGCATCTTTCTAGTGGGGATGTGAAGGCTTCACTTGTCCTTTGCCGCTGGGGGAATGGCCCTGAATAGGTCCTTTTGGTTGGTATCCCTCGCCTTTTCGCTGATCAATTATCGCGTTGAACAGGTATGTGCCTAGTCCCAATATCGCGAGGATGGGCCAGACTTTGAGTGGGGATTTCGAGGGAGGTGTTCGGATGTGTGTCGGAGGCTGCAGAGGTTGAGATAAGAGGTCAGTGTATGCGTCGCATATATTTTGTGTGATCTCTACTCACTTCGTTCGGTCCGGTTGGTTCGCCGGGTTGACGGAGGCGAGATGCGTTTATCCTGGAGGAGGAGAAGGCGCGAGCTGCAAGAAATTGAGGCTGGCGAAGGAGGATACGTTGGCGCGAGATTAGCGAAGACATGATGGTTAACATGGCGGTATGCAGCAGGGGCGACTGTCGTGGCTGCCCGCAGTTGCTCTGATCACTAGCCCAAACGCGACTAGCGTCCACGTACGATATCAGGGCCCAGGCACCCAGGCTCCACCTCCAATGTTCCATGGTTCCAATACAGACACAGACCACCACCAGCTCGGTGGCATCTTGATATTTGCTAACAAACATTTCCGGC